AAAAAAAATTTTTTTGGGGCCTTTGGGGGGGGGGGGGGGAGAGGGGACTATAGCCCAGCTCAGTCCCCATCCGTCCCTAGTAGTGGAATTAATTAAATTGAACGAACATGTACCAACCAATCAGTCACGTATACTTGATATATGGGAGTGGAGGACGCCACGCGTCCGAATCATATACGTATACATGACAATTTTAATAAAAGAAAAAAGAAAAGTTCATTTTTCTGTATTTCGGACTTTTTCATATTCAAAATATGTCCCGCATATATGGCGCATATGTCAAAATCCAATTAGGGATTAATATTTGTGACTTCACGCATAAAATTCTTTGCTGCTTTTGTGTTCTTCAAGAACATCAAAAATGGAAAGAGAATGTGTTTTCACCGTTTTCAAAAACTGAAAACAAAAAAAGGTCCCAAAACGAAAAAGGAACACACCCTTAACTTCTCAAAAACAACTTAAAAAGCTTCTTCGTGTACATTTTTACTACAACTAATCAATCACTATTCAATCAGAAGTGTTTTTTCAGTTCCAAATAGGGCTTCTAGGCTTTCAAAAAACACTCAAACAATCTTTTAGCACTTAGGTAAAAGTAGGCCTCGATGAAGAATAAAGTTATTTGTACAATTATTGTTGACAATTGTGGATGATACTATTGATGTTGTCAAAATTTGGACTGTTAATTTAAAAAATGGTTTTTAAAATAGATAATGTGATGTTGTCAAGCGTGTATTGTCAATTGACATTGTAAAAAAATACTGTACAAATAGTATGATTGCTCTATGAATGCCTATCAATTCTTTAGCCATGTTTGATGGCATGTAATTCCAAACTCTTTTTTCTACATATTTATTTTCAAATACAAATTTACGTGATGAAATATTATGTATATAAACTTAAAACTTGTCTCTATTTTTTAATCACGCATTCTTTAAAAATTCAATATCCAAAACATTTTTTCCCCAAACAATGACCATCAAATAAGGGCATCTCATTTCATCAATAATACATCAAATAATTTTCTTCCTTTGCTCAACAGTAGATTAACAAAACATAGTTGTTCTCTATTCATTTTTCCGGCTTCAATCGACTGGAGTTCTTGAATTGCTGCATATCCTAACAGACATTAATAAAACTGGCAGTTGTAATTAAGGCCCGAGTGTACATGCCTTTGTAAGACAAGGATTAAAATTTATTACCTGTTAAGAAATTCTTACCATTAAATAAGTAACTTATATTTCTGATTTTAAGCAATAAAATAAATTCTTAAAATTTTCTTATAAGTAAATTTTTTAAGCTTAATCAAACATGCAGTTAGCTTCACATTTCTTTGGCAATATGGAACAGGTTTTCCAACATTATACTTTACATTATGATACTAAACATAATTGCAGAAAATTTATATGTCTACCATATAAATACTGTCATCCTTGAAGTGAAACACTTCTCTCCTTTTAAATTGCTTGGAGAATGACTTGAACCCCATGTTTTGGAGTAAGAATGAAAATATCAGCAGGGCAGTGGACATAATTAGGAGATAACAAGAATTTGTAACGCTGCAGAATCATTGAAAGTGCAATTTTGGCTTCATTGGTGGTGAAGTTTAAGCCTACACAAGTTCGAGGCCCCACCCCGAAGGGAAAGAATGCAGCAACATTATTGTTTGTAGCTTTAGCAACTCCCCCGGCAAATCTCTCTGGTTTGAATATATGAACATCTTTGCCCCAGATTTGAGGGTTGTGATGCAGTGCCAGAATTGAAATGAAGATGTTGATATTGCCTGGAAGGTTCAGATTCCCTAGTTTAACTCCCTGCTGTACTTTTCTTGTTAAAGTGAGAACTGGAGGATATAGTCTGAGACACTCGTTGATAATCATATTCATCTACATGTCAAAAAATAATATGAAATTAATAAACTGTACCGGCCTACTGAGCATGAGTTATTTGTGATCTTCGTCAAACACTTTAGAAGAGGGCTAACATGGTCGATTGTGATTGCTAAAGAAAGAACTACTAGAAATAAACTAATCGAAAAGGCGAAATAAAAATTTTTAACTGACAAGAACATGTAGTTTGCTATTTTATTAGTAACTAGAGAAAGAGTGATATGATCTTAGTAAAATAGGTTAGCTAGGTAGGGGTAGATGTAGTAGTAAATCCCACGGAGTCGTATAAAAGGATTCACGATGCCAACCCCAAATGTAAAGGGAATAAGGGGAATAAGGCTTACTATTTTCATTCGTGCAATGCCATCTGAATTCGGTTTTTCACTGCTAAATATTCCAAACACCTCTTCTCTTGCTTTCTCTTGCCAATCAGTATGGATTGCCAGTAGAAAAATACACCATGAAAGTAAGCTTGTAGTTGTAAGATGTCCAGCACCATACATTGCTTTGATCTCATCAATCATCTGTTCAATTGTAATCCTCTTTTTTGTATCAGCTTCATGAAAAATTTTCAACAGTTGTCCAAGATAATCACTTCCGAAATCTTCAAATTCTCCGTTATTTTTCACTTTTTCCCTCTTCTTTACAAGCTCAAAGATGGAACTTTTTATTCCTTCTTTGAGTTTCTCTGCTTTGATCTCATCATCTGACTTTAATAGCATACTGCAGATGTTTACAAAAACGGATGATCAATTAGTCATAAAATTTTAGTTGCATTATTTGAATATAATATTTTGAATATATAATAGAATGATGATGCTTGTACATAATGAAATTACATAATAATTTACATACAGAT